GAGCTTAGCCAAAGCCCTCTCACTCATCTCCATCATTGATTCAACATCTTTGTAAGATTGGGAGTGAATCCAAGTGCATTGCTTGAGTGTTTGCATCTAGAGGCACTTGGTGTTCGTGTTTCGTTGCGGGATTCGCTTGTTACTCTTGGTGGTTGCCACCACCTAGACAACTTGGAGCAGCGAGGATCGTTGAGCGGAAGTTGGTGATTGTCTCCGGCTCTGATCGTGGTGATTGTGAGGGGTTCTTGACCTTTCCCCAGTGGAGAAGGTACTTTAGTGGATTGCTCGTGGCTTGTGTGATTCTCATCTTATGTTGGTTGTGCGGCACCCTATTGAGGGTTTGGCGTGTGATGCCAATTAGCGCATGAACCTCCAGGTGAGTGAATCGCCACAATGAGGACTAGCTTGCCAGCAAGCAAGTGAACCTCGGTAAAAAATCATTGTCATCATTTGATTCCGAGGTGATTGGTCTTCATTGATATTGATTATTGTGATTGATTGGTTCACTCCTCAACACGGCGGTATAACCATCTTGCTCACTCTCTTTATATTACCGCAAACTAGTTATTAAGCTCTTTAGTGTGGCCAGTTGTGAGAGCTTGTTAGTTTGGTTAGTGTGGCTCTTTAGTTAGCCTTTGAGAGCACACTAACTTAGTGTAGTGATATAGTTATTGTGTGGATAGAAACTACATAAACTAGAATTGTGGTAGGTGGCTTGTATTTTTAGTAGGCTAGTGCAACACTCGCTTCGCCTCATAATTGTCTAACCGGTTTGTTAAGTGTTGTTAAAGAAATTTTGAATAGGCTATTCACCCCCTCTAGCCATTAGGACCTTTCATATGTCCTGTTGGCCGTAGGACGCAACCCCTTACATCCACCAATACCCAAACCATATCCCTGCCCGGTTACCATATACCTGTACATCATTTTATCATGAGTGATCATATTTATCATCTATTTGTGAGTAACGGCAGGTTACTCACGCTACCGATAACCTGAGCCTAGCAGCTACTCGACTTATACTAGTAGGACTCATAGATAGATAGATTTATGCATGTAGTTTCTATAAAATGCCTGTAACGTAAATGCACATTATATATATATTCAGTGATCATAAAATATGGGTTATGATCGGGGCTTGCCTTGGGCAGGCGACGGGTCAGCAAAGTCAGCACCAAAAGGCTCCGGCGCTCCCTCCTGCATGAGGATCTCCTCCTCATACTCCTCAATGACCTATTCATAATCCTGTCATTCCACGAGCCCGAACTCTACCAACTCATGATCTACATGCATGAAATAATGATGCAACACTTAATAATATATGGCAACATCAGTTCTTAAAATAACTATATATTATCAAGTTACTAAGCTAGTCCTACCGGTTAAGGTACTAAGTTATCTACATTACCACTAACAAGTATGAAGCCCGACATACAAAGATCACAAAGAACTAAAGGTATTCTTACTCCTAATACCGATTTACTCTATATATGATAAAACAAGGATAATAGCTACTCTATTTATCAACTTACTCTAGGGCTATAAAATTTACAACAAGTACATAATAATCTAATGAGCCTACTGTAAAATTTTCATAGCTATAGCTATCACTAATTTATCACAAAAATTCCTACAAATATTAATCTACATAATACTAAGCTCTCTAGTTTAGATTTATGAACCTATCACTATCACAGCTATCTGTAAACTAACTATACTAACAGATAGATGGTATTTTTGTGAACCTAACAAACTTGGTTTCACTATTTTTGTACATCTACAAGATTTACTACAATTTATCAAAGTTCAGCTTAAAACTAAATTGAATAAGCATTTGTAATTCACTGGAAAATTGGAAAACCGATTTCACAGCGCGGCCCACGAGCGAACGGCTCAGCCCACTCCGGCGTCCTGCCCGTGCGCACACGCAACACCCGGCGCGGCCCACGCAGCGGCGCGCGAACGTGGCCCACGACGGAGCTTGCGCGCGGCTGACGCTTTTGCTAAAGAACCCCCATTTTCTTTTCTATTCACGAAGCTTACTTGAACACTATTTAGTTGAGTCATTGTCTTCGCATCTAGCACCATCCCCTTTTTCTTCTTTACCACGGCCGAGACCCCCGACACCCGTGCACGCACCGGCGTGGCGGCGCTAGCACCGGGCGGCTACGTCGGCCACACCAGACCCTCACGGCCCTATCTAAGGAGCCGATGCTCACCTCGACGTCAACGCGAAGAGGTGGGAGGCGATACGGCGAACGGAGACGCTGTCCCGAGCTCCCTCCACGGCGACGGACTCCTCCCGACGACGGCGGGCACGTTCTCATGAGCCAAGGCACAGACAACGTGAACAAGCTCAAGGATGGGCAATAGCGACTCACCCCGAATCTACCGGCCGTGGTGGCTTGACCGGAGACTGACCGAGCGAGTCTGGTCACGCGCGCATGGCAAGCCTTGCGACGGCGGCGATGGCGCGACTACGGCGGCAGCGCTGAGCAGGCAGCAGCAGGGCGAAATGGGGTGCGCACAGGATAGAGTGGAGCAGGGCGAAGGTACCATGCCAACGAATTGGACGGAGGTGGACGGGGCTAGGGGAAATAGACGGGCGCTGCTGTGGAGTCTTAAAGTGACCGACGGCGACGGAACTTCAAATTGGGGCTTGACACCGGCTGGCAGCAGCAGTGGAAGTGTTTGGCGCGTAGCTAGGTCTCTACTCCATCCACGGGCGACAGAGGAATAGGGAAGTTAGACAAGGTTGGCCCGCCGCTATCGTGGCGGAACGTGGCCGTCAACTCCAAGCACAAGCGCGCACGGGCGAAGGGGAACAGCCAGACATGCACAAGGCGCTTGGCCGGAATGCCATAACCCGCAAGCCGACGGTGGCTCAGTACTGTGCCGCAGTGGACGGCGCCGGCCAGGGGAGGCAACAGCGCAGCGTTGACGAGCCGAAGTGATGGCAAGAGCAGGCGGCACTCCCACGTGTGGCAAGGCGACGTGCGGCAGGGCCAAACGTGGCCACACGCTCACGAAACCGCACAGGCGAGCGCGAAGCGGCAGGCGGACGCGAAGGCGGGGCAGAGCGACCAGGCTTGCCATAGTGCGTGACGTGACTCAACGCGGGCAGCGACACAGCGCAGTGGCGACAGCGTATTGACCAGGACAGCGGGCACCGCGGAGACGACGGTGGTGGCCGAGCGGCCAGTGCGTGGCAACGGCGGTGCAGGTCCACGCGGCGGTGTGCGTGCGTGCATGCCAGGGCGCAGCAATGACGACGCGGCCTGCAGTGCGGGGCCAACGGCAGGGCTGGCCAGTGCGGTGGCAGACGCGCGGGCAAGCGGCCAGGGCGCGGCAACGGCAGCAGCGGCAATGCGGCCGGCGCGGCGGTGCGCGTGGGTGCACCTGGGCGAGCGGCGACACCGCCCGGGTCGCGGTGACTGCGCCCAGACACCGAAACCGACCACGAACGTGTCTTGCACGCATTTTAAAGTTGCTACAAAAACCAACTCGATGGTCCTGTAACTACACCACCTATTTTACGCTCTAGCTGGTATATCAGACTACTAGAGGAAACCCTAAAACCATGCCACTACCTAATCCGATCGTTCTACAAAAATTGGCAAACTTTGCTTCGTCGATCCGTTTCTCGACTTAGGAATTTCAACCAAAACACGATCGGATTTGCGTCGAATTTGAGTTCCAAGCCATTCGATACACTAGCTAGCGAATCCCGTTCTCGACCGCACGTATTTCATCATCGCCTACGAAGCTCATACTACAAACTTTACCAAAGTTTCATATATGTGTTCCATAACATTTTCGTTCAATAAAAATTCATTTAGAACCCTAAGTAATACAACACGACATGAAATGTAACATGCGTTTCGTGTTTCAAATGAACGTTTCAAATTTCGTATATTGCTTTATACCCTGTATTACACACATTTACACATAAGTATGATGCTCATGCAGTGTTTTAGCAAAAAACTATACAGTGTAACACCGAGGGTGTTACAGTCTTGTGGCCTAATTTCAATGAACCAGAGTGTCTTCTGACAAAATGCTTCAAAGTGGGTGTCCGTCAGCAAAGAACCGTCACTTTGGATGTCCAACAGACAATTATCCCTAAATAATACTTGTAATGTAGGGAGCACCATAGCCAATTGAAACTTGAGAAAAGTGCCACCACACGTTCGTCATTGCTCAAGTCATCCCAGTGGCTTTGTCATTACCCCAAGAGTTATCTGGGGCTTTGGCCAGTTTCTTTCTTCAAACCCTAATTCTGCTCGAGTGAAGGAAACCGAGCAATTTAAAATTACAAACCAAATTTATCTGCCTGGTTTCTTTGACCACTACTAGTTTTCTTCTAGAATTTTCTTCCAGAATAAGGAAAAACTTACGGCCTTGACCACTACAACTATGAGAAATATCCACAGGTAGAGTAGATGGTTCCCGTTACAGAGCAAGCCGTTACAAATTTTCTTCAAACTAATTCACATCTTTTGAAACAATACAAGTTCCAAACAACACAAATAATAAACTAAGTTTGTCACACCCAGGGTTCAAAATTTCGGCGAAATTTCGGCCGAATTTCACGAAATTCGGTAATTTCGGTGGTGGCCGAAAGAAAACTCCGAAATTTTTTAATACACTAATACATGTGCTATATAACTCTAATCTTATATTTTTTCTATTGTTTATATTGCATATTCTTCTATTTAATAGATATGTAGTCATAAATCATACTAATATTTGTTTAGATCCAAATTTTTTTAGAAAAAACATACTTCATGTGCTAATCTCTAAAAAAAATTCGGCGAAATTTCGGCCGAATTTCGCGAAATTCGGTAATTTTGGTGGTGGCCGAAATTTTGGCGATACCGAAATTAAAAACCTTGGTCACACCGTACGTACAAAAACAGAAAAAAGGGAAACGAATTAACAGCTGCAACTTGCAAGCATTGTTGCTTCCGTGAGCATAACAGCAGGGCATCTCTCTTCTCCTAGAAACCGAAGACCACATCAGAGACACCATCCTTCTCCTGCTTCCACGTCACATCGACCATCAGCTTCCCGCCATTTCCCCATTCAAATTCAGCCTCACAGCCATCCACCAGGCCCTTCTTGGGTTCCACGTCAGAGTACACCAGTAGCCGTCCTCCCCCCTTCACCTTCATCCTCACCTCGTCTCCACTGCCGTGCTGAACATCAATAATGGCGCCGCCACAGTTCAGCAAGTCAACCAGCCCAATTGGCGCGAAGCACGCTTTGTTGGCACCAACACCGCCGATGGTTGTGACCGGAGCAAATGTGAAGAGCTCAAAGGACGATGGCTGGAGGGTGAACTGGATGGGTTCTGAATCTTGTGTCATCAGGAGGAGCTCCTCGGTTTGGCATCGGTAGACTGCGTATGATGCAGCTTTCGCCATGGCGGATGTGTCTTCCCGATAGCTCCACTCAACGTCGGCAGGCCGGACATCACCGGAGACCGGCTTGTAGCAGTGCGAGTAGCCTCGGAAGCGGTGCTCCACGGGGTCCCACCCTGCTCCCTGGCAGTTGAATGCCCCAATGACCCCTCCAAACTGCAAATTTTGGAGAGTTTCAGAATTCTCATGTGGCCTTGTTTAGATTGAAAAAAATTTCAAACCGATGAATAGTAGCACTTTCGTCTTATTTGGTAAATATTGTCCAATCGTAGACCAACTAAGCTCAAAAGATTCATCTCGTGATTTCCAACTAAACTGTGCAATTAGTTATTTTTTTTACCTACATTTAATGCTCCATGCAAATGGCTAAAAATTGATGTGATGGAGAGAGAGTGAAAAAACTTAGAATTTTGAGTGTATCTAAACAAGGCCTTAGTATATGGTACTACATGGTAGTATGCCACTTGGAATCCAACTTGTCAAGAGCAACAATTCAAGAACTGCCCGAGATATCTAAGTTCTACAGATGATAATCAAACATCTTAGTTAATTTGTGGTGACTGCAAACACTAAGCAAAGGCAGATTTAAAAAAACTGACCTTGTTCAGGTTCCAAATCTTAAGGACCGTCTGCTGATCAAAGAGCGGATTTTTGAAGAGGCAGTCTCTGGTGGGCAGAGCATAGTGCAGGCACCTGGGCACGGTGCCATCGGGGAAGACGAGCCTCCTGAGCACGGCGAAGCCGTGGCCGCCGAGGGAGTCGCTGACGTAAACGGGGCCGCCGCAGATGGCCCGGGACGCGGCGTGGAAGGCGGCGCAGGCGTGGTCGGACTGGAACATGTCCCAGTCCGGGCGGATGAACTGCCCCATCCACAGGCTGTTGTAGGCGCAGTTCACCATGTGCGCGCCCTGCAGCCAGAACACGCCCATGGGGTCGCCGTTGGGGTCCTCGAACCAGAAGTCGTCGCCGGCGCGGCCCATGGCCACCGTCCGCGTGCCCAGGAAGAAGAAGTCGTTGCACTGCTGCATGCTGGCGATGATGCCCGTGCCGGCGAAGTTCTTCGCGACGGACTTGGAGAGGCCGTCGTAGTAAGCCTTGGCGAGCTCCACGCGCCCGCCGTGCTCCTCGCATACGTACTCCAGCGTGTGCACGACGTCGACTTTGACGCCGGTGACGCCCGCGCCGGCGAGGTACGAGTGCATGGACTCGTAGAGGTCGCCCGCCTGGTCGGGGCGCACCAGCCCGATCCCGCCCTCGATGATGCGGTCCACGGCGAGGTCCTCCATTGTGCCGGCCAGCCCCGGCAACGGCCGCGCCGGCACGACGCGCGCGTCCAGGTGCGTCGCACCCGGGCGCACCCCGCCCCACCCGCCGCACAGCGCCTGCCACACGTACACGTCGTCCAGCCCCGGGAACCTGCGCCTCATGTCCTTCAGGAACGCCTTCAGCCCCACCTCGCCATCGCCGGCGCTCCCGTCGTCGTCGCCGAGCTTCGCCAGCATGGCGTCCCTCTGCACGAGCAGCTGGTCGACCTCTCGCCGCATCTGTGCGATCTTGGCGTCAAACCTCGAGAGGTCGGTGGCGCCACCCTGCGCCGCCTTCTTCTTCGCCTTCCCGGCGTTCTCGATCTCCGCGGCCTTGCGCACGACGGCCTTGGACATGCTCTTATCGTAGAACAGCTCCGGCGGACGGTTGATCAGGGCGCCCTCCCTGTACCCGCGGAAGCGCGCGCACTCGTCGAAGCGGTAGAGGCGCGCGGTCATCTGGTCGCCGCCGAGCACGAGTCCCGGCGCGTCCTCGTGTGGCGGGTCGTCGTCGCGGTTCACGCTCTGCCAGCCGTCGTCGATGATGAGGAACCGCGGGGGCACGCCGGCGTCGGCGAACTCCGACACGCCCTGCCAGACCCCCACCGGGTCGACGGTGAGGTAGAAGGCGTCCCACGTGCACCACCCGAACCGGTCCGCCATCGGCGGCAACGCCTTCTCCTGGATCAGCCTGCGGTGTGGCGCGGCGCGCGTTCCATGTCCAGAGTTAATCATAGCCGTCCGATCGTAAAATCAAGGGTTGAAACTGACACAGCACACACGTGGGGCCTGCAAGGCCCTTCTAGGTGCACAAAGGAATGAACAAGATGTTGTACTAGCACAAGTACCAACCTGAACGTGCCGAGGTGCACCCTGGCGGCGAGGTAGGCCTCCTGCATGACTCTATAGGGGTCGTCGCCGGCGTGCACGTAGGCGATGCGGCGGAAGTCGGTGCCTATCACAGCGGCAGACCCGCTCTCGGCGCAGATGACGACGCCGTCGTCCTCCCCAGGAAGATGGCCGACCGGAAGCTCCCTGCACGAGAGGAAGGACGAACACGTACCCGGCGCCGGCGCCCGCGAGCTCAGGCACCTCGAGGAGCACCCACTGCGTCTCCATCTGCAGGTCCCGGCCGCGCCGCCCCGCCCACGCCGTGCTCCACCACGTCTTGAACCGGAACACGCTCAGGAACCGCCGCGGGCCGGGCAGGCGCCCCACGCGGCACGGCGCGCGGCTCGCCGCCACGGGGAACGTGAAGCCCAGGAACGCGCCCCGGCTCGCGTTCGCGGCGGCCTGACATGCCAGATCCCGCGGCGCGTCCGATGACGCCTTGGTGGGGTCGAAGGCCTCCGCGAACGGGGTGAGGGTGACGTTCCCCGGGACGCCAGTGAGGAGCGCGGCCGTCTTGCCGGCACCGACGCCGACGGTCAGCTCGCCGTCCCGCAGCGAGAAGAGGCACGGCGACCCGGACGACGACGATGTGCCGGCCTTGGCTGCCGCCGTGGTGCCGGTGGTGGTGAGCTTGGGCGCGGCGGCGTCCGTGGCCGCGACCTTGGGCGTGAGCTTCGACTCGTTAGGCGGCGCCATTGGCAACGCAATGGTCAAGAACGATCAGAGGGTTGCTCTCGCTCGGACGGAGTATGGCTGCTCCTCTCTATGCTAGCTGGCTGGCCAAGCTCGCTGAGAAGCTCCTCTCTATGACGATATATAGGCGCGGGAGCTGGGAGGACGAAGGTGGCGGGCCCTTTTTTTTCTTTCTCACAGAAGCGTCTGGAGCGTGATGGCGTCGTCGAGGTTCGAGAGTCGAGACGTGTTGCAGTGTCTGCAGAGGTTCGAGAATCGAGACGTGTTGCAGTGTCTGCAGAGGTTCGCGAGTGGTGTATGCAGCTTGTCGCTGTTGCATTGGTTAGTGTGATGATTGTTTTGTAGCGAGACGTCACGCGCGAGGTCGACTCTGTCTCGATGACGTGGCACGTTTATAACTGTACGTACTAGGTTACCAGTTGAGGCCTTGTTTAGATTGTAACTTTTTTCAACCCGATAAATAATACCACTTTCGTTTTATTTGGCAAATATTGTCCAATCGTGGACCAACTAGGCTCAAAAGATCCATCTCGTGATTTCCAACTAAACTGTGTAATTAGTTATTTTTTTTATCTACATTTAATACTCCATGCAAGCAGCTAAAAATTGATGTGATGGAGAGAGAGTGAAAAAACTTGGAATTTGGATGGTATCTAAACAAGGCCTGAAATAGCATATATATTTGAATTTGAGTGATACTGAATTGATGGAACAAGAGCAATTCGAACTTAATTTTTGACTCATGGACAGGGCATTTTGAAAGAGAAAATTTCGATGCTAACCAACTGGGATATGAATAGTTCTAGTAGGCATCTTAGGACAAAAAAAATCTGAATCAAGGGCATAACTGAAACCCGGTGATTAATGCTTCACACTTGGAGCTCTTAGTTAGTAACCGGGCAGGGTAGGTCAGCAGATCTTTCATGAATAGAGGAGAGCCAACGAATAAGCGTGGAATCAGCCTCATTTGTGTAGCAGCTGTGTAATTAGGCTCATCTTTTCTTTTAACTAAAACAGGTTGTGTGATCGTTGTGTAGCTCCCGGTTGAATTTGCATCAAACTATCATTGGCGCAGTGATGAAAACCTTCTTCCATATTTAACATAAAATTATACAATATTTTTCTATCTTAATAAAAAAAATGTAACGCTCTGGTGTATTAGAGAAAAACAAAAGGCGTGAAACGTGTGTGTAACACAAGAATGAGCAAAGCTTGGAATATTTCTTGAAACCGGACCTGTAAAGTGTAAACTGTACGAGTGCCGACAGCCGAGTGCGTAGTGACGACATATACCTCTCTCAAAAAGAAGGGAAGGAGAATTCCGTACACAAACTACACTTGCACACCCTTTTTCCCCCCAAAAAAGAAAACTATACATATGCACAAGTTGAGTGGTCTACATTATGGAGCAGGTGCTGCCCGGCCGCGAGTAGGGGTCGTAGACGACGCCGACCGGCGGCGGCGGCGGCGGGTAGTGGTAGTAGTACTGGGTGTAGTCGGCGACGGGGTCGGGCTTCTTCTCCTCCTTCTTCTTGTCCTCGCCGACCTCGACAAGCTGCGCGTCACCCATCTTCTTGCGCAGGTCGCTGGTGAGCTTGATGGAGTCGACGCCCTCGCCGACGACGACGACCTGGTCCTTGCCGGCGCCGGCGATGGCCACGGAGTCGACCCCGCCCGCGGCGGCCACCAGCGCCATGGCCTTGGACCGGGACTTGTCGCTCGCCATCGGCACCTTGATCACGATCTTTTGCTGCAGAGTCGGGAGACGCACACACAAGCAGTGTCAGTTTGAGCCGAAATTAGGAGCAGAACAGACAGACAGCGCGCAAATGAAGAATCGAGCTGATGCAGTGCAGGTACCTTGGCCATGGCTGATTTAATCCAAAGCTGAAGATTCAGAACGAAGAGGCTTGGAGTGATTTGGTGTGGAGATCCGACTATCCGAGGGTTGTGTTGTGTGGAGGCTCGAAGCAGTAGTTGCTTTGCTGTGGTGGGAGCTGAGCAGAGCAGCGTCCCCTGAGGCCTGAGCTGCTATATATAGCCGACCGGACCAACGGGAGATGAACTCTTCTTGTCTATGACCCGGCCGATGGGGTCACTGGGTGAGGAGAGAAGAGAAGACTTGGACTCAGAGAGCGCGTGCCGGTCGCCTCGTCTTAGGCCATCTTTAGTTCCCTAAATTCCGGAATTTGGCACTATGCAAAAAGAAGATTCTCCATCACATTAAATTTGCGGTACATGCATGGAGTACTAAATGTTGACGAAATCAAAAATTAATTATACAGTTTGGTTGTACTTTGCGAGACGAACGTTTTGAGCCTAATTAGTCAACGATTGAACAATTATTATCAAATACAAACGAAATACTACAGTACGCTACAGTGCCCTGGGTTTCTGGCGGCGCCGAATCCGGCCGGAACTAAACGCGGCCTAGTCTAATGGCCCCTCCAAACGCGATAAGACAAAGGGAAACCATGTTCAGACTTTGGAGCACAGCACACTACTTGGCGGCTGTACGAGTAGGACGACTTGGCGGCCAAGGAAGCGCTCTCCAGTCGATGGCCGAGAAGAAGGAAGCCACAAACAGGACGACTGTTATACGGTCAAGACGTCATGCGCATGCAGGCTTCCGGGCGGAGAACACCGGATGATCCGATCCCATCCCATCCCATCCCCGGTGATTCTGTACCGATTGGCTAATCATCCATGGTTTCCGATCCCATCAGTTCAGTGCTACGTAGAGTACGTACGATACTGATGGGCAGACGGACACCACAGTCCCCCGTCTCGCACGCAACGCCCAGCAGCTACAGCTTGCTTAATCATATCATTCCATCCACGTGCGTGATCTGGCCACTCTTGGTGCCGTTGCTGCTTAGCTAGCTCCATGGATTCGCTTCAAGATTAACCAACTCTCTCGCCGCCAGCCGCGATATTATTATAGTAGTACGGAGTAATTGTCAATAATTTGGCATGGTAGAATATATGGGTCTGTTTGGCAGGACTAAAAAATAAACTAAAATATTATTCCGACTTATTGTCGTGAGAGGAAAACACTATTCTTCCTGAAAACACTGTTAACATAAACAGTGATTCCATGAGTAGGCTGCCGGCCAGCCAGCCGAACAGCCCCATATGTATATAGGCGTCGCAGCAAGTGGCACATCGCCGTGGGACCAACAGTGAACATAGAAGCACGCGATTTTCTTCTTGTGTGTCTTGGTAATAATTATATTATTATATACCGAAAAAACAAAAGGGGAGCTTGACCTCAAGTCAGCGATAATTGCGATGTGCGGGGATGATAATAAATTAATAATAGTGTGACCAGGCGAGCGATTCGATTCACACGGCGCGTACCTGGAAGGCTGGACAGCAGGTTGTTCCGTTCCGGGACCACGCGGCGCCAGCGCCACGGTATCCGGTACTACACCACACCGTACACGTTAGCTGGAGAGCCAAGTTCGCAGGAACGAGGTACCGCACTGGAGCCTGGAGGAGCTTTTGCTGCGCCGCAACAGGACGGTGACCGAGCCAGCACTCAGCTGCAGCAGCGCTCATGTTATGGGGTCGATCGGTTATGACTATCGTTGAAACAGCGATCCGCTTTCCGGCAAAATTTCAGGGGGCGGATCTTGTATCCAGACGGTTTGTGTAGCCCCCTCTCCTGTATATACAAGAAACGACAGAATGGCATTCCCATCCTATGCAAATTAAGATTTTTTTTAATATTCAAGTCGGAACTTTATAGCTTAAGTCATACTAGCTATAGTCCAGTGACGCGACACGAATAGATTTTATTTTATTACTTGCTATAAGTTGTTATCCGCATATTAAGTTCGAGATCTTGTGTTTATTGCACTTTTTATTTAAAATTATTCGTTTGTATTTTCTTCAAATCAATGATATTATTAGATCTAAGGTTCCACTCTAATAATTACTAGAATGATGTTAGATATTAGCATTGTTTCCTCCAAGCAAACTTCAAATATCAAGGAGACCATGACCACCTTTTGTTTGCACTAACCTCTTCCACTTCTCAATTAAGATGTTAACTTCGGTGTCATAGAAGTAGAGTATATGTGAAGGGCTTGTTCGGCAGTTGGTTTTGCAGCCGTCACCGCCGCTGCATCAGCTACTGCCTCTCACAGAATCACTGTACTGACCGCCAGCATCGGCAACTTTTACAAGTAGTTGAACAGGCCTGAAGTTGTATTATATTTTTTCTGTAAAAAAATCGAGTGTTTATAACTATTCGCATTATTGATGGATGATAATGTTGCTGACAAAATGCATATAAGATCTAAAGTAACAAGTTATATAAATTACCGTCTAAATATCAATTTAACTTTAAATGAATAGTTAGTGCCATTGTATATGAAACATTAAAGGAGCATTTTTTCATTTGTTGAAATGTAGAAATCTATATATCACTCATGCAAAACAACTATACTTGATCTATATCACGACGCAAACATGTATAATAAAATGTGTTGGTAATTTAGATGATAGAAGAGAGAAATATATGTGCCTAATTTTTGGTAATTTAAACTTTCCATAATAAAGATGTAATTTGAGAGAATATTTTAGTTTATTCTTTTAATAATGGCAGAAGTAAGTAATTTAGATGCAAATCTAAGGGGTTACTTTATATTACGGTTCATAAGTAGAGGTGGGTGGTTAGATGCATATTTATGGGGGTTGTTTTGTGTTTTTTTCATAATGATAAATCTATTATCTAATATAAGTAATGGTAATTAGAGTATACCACATTGGTAGCCAGACATTTGTATTTATTTCAAGAATTTCTATAATTTATCTTTTTAGTGTATCTCATAAAAATTAACGTAGAGGCTCCACTAAGATTTCTAATTAATAATAGTAAGAATAAGATACCAGGTACACATGCTGCGCATTGGTGTTTTTTTCGACATGTTTTTGCGGATGCTCATTTTTGCTCACTCAAAAACTAAACGAACTCCTTTTCCTTTTGTTTTAAAGAA